TTCTGCATCGAAGAAATACGGGGTCATGAAAAATGATTTCTTATACCTTCGAAGCGTCGTGTGGTTACCTGTTCTACTCTTCGACGCCTTGACATGTAAAATTAACTTTTGTGTATGTTCTACCCTAGACGGTCATTTTCTGCTCGAAAAACGCGTACACCATTTTTGTGATAGAAACGAGTTAAATTTTTAAATTCGAAAAAATTTAAAAATTAAATTCAAAATCGAGCTGACGTATACAGAGAGTCTCCATGCTCTCACACGGCCGCCCACGACTGTCTTAAAGTCAAGGTTCACAAGTTAAGGGAGAAAGAAACTAAAACAACTTACTCTGCTGTGACGATGATTCGAACGTGAGTATCTAGAATTAAGANGCAAGCATAGAACAGGTTGAGCTAAAGATGCTCGAAAGATGATCTGTATCATCTGTAATTGTTTCGAGCATCGATAGCTTATTGAAGAAGACTTATTCTTTTCTGTTTGCTTGTTTTTTAATTCTAGGACCCAAGCAACTACTTATTACTCTTGTCTGCAGAGATCTTTCATTTTGCTCGCACTAAAATAGATTTTTATTTCCAGTGACTGGAAGGCTCGAATGAAAGTAATTTCTGAGTTTCGTTGTCCTATCATCTGTAGGTTCAGTTCCAAAGTTGAAGAACTTCTACGAAACTTCGAACACAGTTGAGTTTCTATTATTCAACGTTGTTCGAGTTCCGTATTGATACAGATTCATTTTTTCAAACTTTTCATCCAAGAGCTATTTACTATCCGTATTTTGTATTTGAATGTTATTGTTGAGAGCAACATCTGAGTCTGAGTAAGTTTTTCGTGTGAATCACTGTGTCTTTGATAAAGAGGCTTTGCATCTAATCCAGATGGATAATGCATAAAAATTGAAACGTTTCATCTTACGACATCCCCGACTGTAGAACATACACAAAACTTAATTTTGCATCCCAAGGCATCTAAGAGTAGAACAGGTAACGACGCGGCGCTTCGAAGGCATAAGAAATCATTTTTCATGATCCCGTATTTCTTCGATGCAGAACGTATAATGATACGGGGTGTGAGTGAACGGCTAAAAGTACGCCCCGTACTCTTTCACAAGGGGACGGGTAGAATGTAAATAAATCAGCCTCAGTACGGGGTCTGGACCCCGTATAAAATTTTGATACGGGGTCAGAACGCCCGTTCTAAAACTTTTTTAAGCTCTTGGATCATCATAGGCTGAAACGACTAAACAAACTCTTCTTACTCATCGTTGGTCGTTTGCCTATTGATGCTTTTTCTTTACATTTGTTTCAGGTTCCTTGACATTTACGATACTGACATATTTAAGTCTGAACTTTAGTCGACGTTATTTAAGACAAAATGTCCAGAGTTCATGCGTATTATTATGGGCATTACGGTAAGGTGTTTGTTTCACGTCCGACTGAATTTGTTTTTCTAGCAATATTCTTATAGACTTGGTGCTTATTTGTTTTATCGTATTTTGAAAATGAAAAAAGATGCACGCTTCAACCGTATTCGAGATAGCCCATCAAAACTTTTTGGTGTTTGGATGATGCAAGGTTAATTGTGCAAAAGGCGGATAACATACGTTAATTTCTTAATATTTGTCATAGGTATATGGATCATCGTTACCTTATTACCGACACTCTGCGTCAATCAAAAACGTGTTGATAAAAAGTTAACAACAACCGATTATTTGGGTTGGAGTTTATGGTTATTTGGATTTTTATTTGAAGTTATTGCGGATGGACAAAAATATGCCTTCAAAACAAATCCAGCACATAAAGTGAGTGTTCCATAAACAGCTATATTACTTTAACCATTAAATAGTTGTACGCTTTCTTCGTTCAAAACAATACTAAGCATTAGTTTGTCACAGCATGACGATTTTAAGCTTTTCTCTCATAATATGATGATGAGCACAATCGAGAACGTAGTCTTTCTGTTCTAGTCTTATCTGTCACTCTCAGTTCATTTGGCGTTTCAGAAAATGAAATCTGCGTATAATGTACCGTTTAGGGTAAATTTATCAACAGTGGTTTATGGTCTATTTCACGACATCCAAATTATTTTGGTGAAATATGTGCATGGACGGGTCTCTATATAAGTTCATCTCATATGCTTCAAGGTAACGAACGTTTATGTGCATTATCACCCGTATTTATAACATTAATGATATCATTTTTATCTGGTATACCATTACTTGAACGAATAGCGATGAAACAATTTGGTGGGAATTCAGCATATCGTACATATCGTAGTCATGTACCAGTACTAATTCCATTTATCAGTTTTTCAAAAATATAAAGACAACCTTGACATGTTAGCATTGATACACTATTTGCTAGAAAGTTTTCTCTAGCATAAATACTGTGAAGAATCGTGCATGACACGCTTACACTTCTCAGTGGGACTAATACAAAATTTGACCACTTTTAAATAATATAAAAATTTTACACAAAAAAAAAACGAATTTTTCTGTAATTTGATACTATAGTAGTATGCATACTTATAGTATAATATATCACCCCAAAAAAAAATAGTTTCATTCTGTACTTCTCATTTATTGGCACTATAAAAACATATTTATTTAAAACAAACTACATATTCTGAAAGTTTGTGGAGTTCTCTATCATCTTGTATATTGACTTATTTTCTTGTATTCGTTTATTGAAAAATAATTTGAATACAATGAAGATACCTTCATGTCCAGATTCCCATAGACTTGATTTTTTCTTTGTCGTCAAAAATAGTTTTTAAAATTTTTCGTTACTATAGAATGATCTTTTTGAAA